TTCATCCTTACTGCTTACAATTTCTTTCTTCTACAGGTTGTGAGGTTAAACTACTGTTTTTATTCTATTTGATGGAGGTATTGAGTTAAGTAGTTTATTATGCTACTTTCTCTTTTTTGCGTGTATGTTTGCTATTTGCCATGAACTGACCTCTGAGGACTTCCTTAGCTGTCCCAAGGATTTTAATATTTTGTATTTTCATTTTCTTTTGTTTTGAGGAATGTTTTTTTTCTTTCAGATTTTATTTCTTCCAAAACTCAGTTATGTTCAAGAATGCTAATATTTTACTTCCATGTGGGTCTTCTTTTTTTCTTTATTCTCTTCTTGGAAGCAGGAGTGGCATCCACTTCCTAAATAAAATGCCTCCAGAAACTCTATGGACTTTGATAAATGTCGATAGAGGAGATTTGGGCCTTTTGTTCATAGGGTAGCTATGAGTTGTGCTCAACTAGAAGGCAATTAACAACAACAACAACAACATCAACAACAACAACTTCTTGTTAATGTCTACCTATAGAATTATGGTCTGAAAAAGTATTTTGTTTTATTACAGTGTTTTTTAATTTGGCATGCCTTTCTTTGTGTTCTAATATATGGTCAATTTTGGAGAATGTTCCATGTGCACTTAAGAAAGTAAATTGAGGTTTTATTGGGTTATGTAGCCTGAATATATGTATGAGGCTGATTGGGCTGATTTTATAGTTTAGTTCTTTTGTATCTTTGTTGAGTTTCTTTTGAGTTGGCCTGTGTTTTGGTGAGAGTCATGTGTTGAAGTCTCCCACTACTATTGTGGTGTTGTCTATTTCATTCTTCAAGTCTGTTAGCCACTGTTTTAAGTGTATTGTAAGTCTATCAATAAAAGTATAGATGTTAACTAAGGATACGTCCTCCTGATCTATTGTACCTTCAGTTATTGTTGTGTTGTTGTTATGTGCCATCGAGTTGCTTGTGACTCATAGTGACCCTATGTACAAGAGCTCTAGATACTGTTCTATCCTGTGCCAACCTAGCCATCTCAAATGCACTTATTCCCACCGCTCCAGTCACAGAATCAATTCATCTCATCGAAGGTCTTCCTCTCCTTTGCCGCCCCTCCACTCTGCCAAACATGATGTCCCTCTCCAAGGACCAGTACCTCCTTGCAACATGCCCAGAGTATGTCAGACAAAGCTTCAGAATCCTTGACTCCAAGGAGCATTCCATCTTCACCTTCTCCAGGACAAACTTTTTTGATTGTTCTCCTAGCAGTCCATGGTATAGTCAACACTTGTCTCCAGCACCACAGCTCAAATGCATCAATTCTCTTTCTATCAACCCTATCACTGTCCAACTCTCTGATGCATAGCATGTAATTGGGAAGACTATAGCCTGGAACAGACGCACCTTATTCTCCAGTCTGATGTCATTGCTCTTCAGTACTCTTGAGAGGTCCCTCACAGCTGACTTTCTCAGTGCAATTCTTCTCTTGATTTCGTGGCTTCTGTTACCAAGAGTGTTGATTGTGGAGCCAAGTAAACTAAAACTGTTAACTATCTCAATCTCTTCACCATCCCTAATGATGCTGCCAATTGGCCCAGTGGTGAGAATCTTTGTTTTCTTGATGTTGAGCTTCAGTCCATATAGGAGGCTGCAGTCCTTGATCTTCTGCAGCAAGCACTTCAGGTCCTCCTCAGTTTCAGCGAGCAGGGTTGTGTCATCTGCATAATGCAGGTTGTTGATGATTCTTCCACCAATCCTGCCTCATGCCACATTCCTCTTCATATAGCCCAGCATCTTGGATGATCTGTTCTGCATACAGATTGAAAAAGTATGGAAACAGAATGCATCCCTGACTAACCCCCTGCTTGATTTTGAACCATGTAGTGTCTCCTTGCTCTGTTCTGATGACTGCCTCTTGGTCCAAGTAGAGGTTCCACATTAGCACAATCAAATGTTCTGGGATTCCCATTCTTCTCAGAGTCAGCCACAACTTGTTGTGATCCACACAGTCAAAAGCCTTTGCATAGTAAATGAAGCACAGATAGACATTCTTCTGGTATTCTTTGCTTTCTGCCAAGATCCACCTAACATTAGCTATAATATCCCTAGTACCATGACCTCTTCTAAATCCAGCCTGCACATCTGGCTGTTCTCTGTTGACATATTGTTTCAAACATTTTTGGATAATTTTCAGCAGAATCTTGTTTGCATGTGATATTAAAGGTATTGTTCGATAATTTCCGCACTCTGTTGGGTCACCTTTCTTTGGAATGGAAACAAATATTGGTCTTTTCCAGTCAGTGGGCCAGCTGTCTGTTCTCCAGATTTCTTGGAACAACTTAGCACATCCAGGGCAGTGTCTGTTGAAATATGTCAGTTGGTATGCCGTCAACTCCTGGAGCCTTGTTTTTTGCCAATTCCTTCATAACAATTCGAACTTCCTCGTTCATCACATAGAGTGTTTTTTCTTATCTCTTAACGGTGACTTTCCTTCTGAATATTGGAGATTAGTATTGACACTCCAGCTCCCTTATGGATGTCTTTGTCTTGGAATCTTTTTTCCCCAGTCTTTGGTTGTTAGCCTTTGTCCTCATTTCTTAAATGTGTCTCTTGTAGGCAACAGAGTGATGGGATTTTAAAAATTCTATTCTCCTACTCTTTTCCTCTTAATTGGTTCATTTAAATAATTTACATTTAATGGGATTGTTGATAGGCTTGGTTTTATTATAACCATGTGGTAGCATTTCTTTTCTTCTTTTTATTTCTGGTTAATTTGATCCATCTGCTTTCCTCTGCAGTCTCTGTATGAAAACTTACTTTAGTATTTCTTATAGAGTTGGTTTTGTTTTCACAAATTCCTTAAGTTCCTGCTTCAGCAATATTTTGCTTGCATGTGTTGTTAATATATTGTTTGATAATTTCCACATACTACTAGATCACCTTCTAGAGAATGGGAACATTAATTTTAGCCTATGGGGAAACACCTTAGTTTCTCCTCAAAGTTTGGCAAAAAAGAGAGAGAGAGAGAGAGAGAGAGAGAGGCAGAGAGAGAGAGACAGAGAGAGGAGAGAAAGTTGTCTTTATCATACATAAATACATATTACACTTGCAGTAGAGTGTATGTATTTCATATACATAACATTAAAAGTCAACACAACTCATTGTTGTTGAGCTGAAACCAACTCACATCTGACCTTTCAACAGGTTTTCAAGACATTGTAAACTGCACAAGAGGAATCCCTTAGAGAAGGTGGTGGATGTGAACTGCCAGAGAATTGTTGCCTCCTATCCTGTGCCATCTTCACACTTCCTGACACACTAGAACCCATTGCAGCAGTCATCATGTCAGTCCACCTGGGCGAAGGTCTTGCTGTCCTTCACCGACTCTCCATGCTTCCTAGCATCATGTCTTTCTCCAAGGAATAG